TGCCCAGTTCAAGCTGAAGCTTGGCGCTTTCTGGGCATCAGCGTTCCCTGATTGTATCTGACATCGGGCCTGAGGTCGCTCAAAGCTCGTCCGTCTCCGGGTCCCCCACTTTTAACTTTTAACTCTCAATTCTTTATCTCTTACTACACTTTGTTCTCTCCAACTCCTTCAGCTCCCATTTACATTCACCGTGCACCATATTTTACGGAAAGTTCCCAACATACAGCACNTTGATCCTGGTAAAACCTCAGACGTGTACTGTCACTCAGAGGAACCATCAGAAGTGCGTTTTCCTTTTCCAGAACCGCACCCACCCGGTCGTGTATTGTAACTCAGAGGAACCATCAGAAGTGCGTTTTCCTTTTCCAGAACCGCACCCACCCAGGCTTTACGTGAACAAAATAATACAATTGTCGCAGCGCCGTGGTGCTCCCAAGCTCATTGGTGCAAAAACTGGACTGCTTCTGGCTCCGCCGCAAGTCCTGTGATCTGTCCTGTCCTGTCCTGTCCTGTCCTTTATTCGCGTGCTTCGAACGAATTGTTAAATTCCACGGCGCGCGGCACTCGAACTGTTTGCACGCTCAAGGGATGGTCAGTTGTTCTCCTTTGCTTAAACGATTTCTTTTAATGGTTTCCTAATTGCGTTAATCGTCATTCTTGCTATACGCGACTTATGCTGGCTCACTTTTTCACGTTTCTGGCTTCAAATTGGTTTTACANGGTTTTACAGATTGCTGATTACTGCGAGCTGTTCGTTATACGAGGAATCGTCGGGTGGCTTGCTGTTTTTCAAATTTCTGATATTGATCAGTGCCAATAAATTTTCAAGGGTACCACTGCCACAATCTTAGCTGTTCAGGTCACCATCGTAAAGTGCAGTATAGTGAAACAGACTTCTTCCATTTCTTTCTACCTCATACACAATTTAAGAGGCAAATGGAGGATTGTGCCCAATAAGAGGGTAGAAATGAAAGGGAACATCTGGGAAATACAGTACGCAACCTATTTATGGATACGTTTGTTCCCAAGTATTTCCACCTGGTAAGAAACGACACTAGGAACGCCACTACCGACGATTAGTTAACATAGCAACTAGTGTCCGGGACCAACCAGTTTTTTGAACCCAAACCTGGAACACGGGAGACATTCTAACTAATCGCTCTCTTCATGCCCTGTTTCCATGTCATCTGTTGGCCTCCGCTTGGTTTCTTCCAGGCCGGAGCCGCAACTGTGAATGAGACGCCGTACGGCCGACGTTAGCTGGGCATACGCGCACGTGTACAAGGATAAACGAGTATCTTTCTGAAATCGATTTTTCTCCTGGGTACAGTTGTTCCGTTAGTTTCTACGATTATAACTTCTCCATACTTCCGTCGAAGTTCCCTGGTCTCTAACCAAAGATTCTTCTGAATCCGGTAGTACGTAAAATGCCCCGCTTCAAATACCGTTTCGTCAGATATCAGTCTGATTTACTTTCCCATATCGCTTCACTCTTTTACTCAGGGTATTGACATCTGCCACAAATACGACCGTAAGGTCGTAAGGAGAAATCCTAAAAGTGACGATGTCTACTTGAGGCTTCTGGTGAAAGCCTATAAGTTTTTGGCACGGAGGACCAAGTCAAAGTTTAACAAGGTAGTGATGAGACGGCTATTCATGAGCAAGATCCACAGACCCCCGCTTTCTCTTGCTCGCTTGAAACGCCTCATGACGAAGCCTGGACGAGCGGAGAAAATTGCGGTTTGTGTAGGAACGATCACAAACGATACTCGCATCGTGGAGTTTCCGAAAATGACGGTGAGTGCGTCGCTCATTGTTTCTGTGATATACCTTCATGTTCATAAGCTGTGACTCCATAAATCCCATCACCCTTGTTCACTCGATTGGACGAGCGCATGCTGATGCTGTAATTTTTCCTTGCTTAATTTCGAATGCGTTATGCTTCTCGTTTTAGGTCTGTGCCTTGCGAGTCACTGCCGGAGCTCGGGAACGTATACTTCGCGCCGGTGGGGAGATCATCACTTTTGACCAACTGGCTAAGCGGTGTCCGCTCGGTCGCGGAACTGTGCTAATTCAAGGACCACGGAAAGGTCGCACAGCCGTGAAACACTTCGGACCAGCTCCTGGTGCTCCTAAGAGCCACACAAGGCCTTACGTTCTATCCAAGGGTAGGAAATTTGAACGTGCCCGTGGCCGTCGCGCAAGCCGCGCCTATAAGAAATAAGCTGTCTATTGTCAAATACATGTTGATCCTGTGGGTCATGCTTTTTTCTCACCGGTAACCCGTGTACTGTGANCTGTGAATGTTCCGACCGTTGTCACTAAGTGCAACATGTAGATGCGTTCGATTGCGGTGCCAAGCTCTGTTGAACAAAACCGACTTGCGTTACCTTTCTTCACATGGATCGTTTATTCTGCGTATCACGTTAGGTGCCTGTCCCTTAAAACTCAGTGAGCGCGTAACAATGGCGTCGAAGTGTTCGCCAAGCGTATAGGGTAATCTGCCTTTCATACATTTAGATTGCTGCCGATCGCAAACGTTCATTTCGAGGTGAATCGGTTTGGTATTTCAATGGGGAGGCATTTACGGAGGATCCTAGTGCTCAAGTTTCTCGGCCTAAAGCTATGCAACCACTGCCCTACTAGAGATTCCTCTTATGCAGCATCATCTGATAAATCTCTCGAACTTGTGGCACGAAACATGAACCGATCATCGGCTTACATAAGAAACGCCGATTATACTGTATCTCATACAATATGGGACGTCTTCGCTCTCCTTCATGAGTGACGTCTTAGCTCGAAAGTCGGTAGAACTTGATTCAGTAAAGCAGGGGGAAATGTTTCCGGATTGGTTTCCAGCTGGCTATATTGCCACCTTTCGGAGGACTGAGGGGTACTCCGGCGGGTAAAAAGGCTGTAATTTACTGGATTGGTGGTGGCCTGAAGCGTTTGGCTGCTGTCATTCTCTATCGGTTTTCTGCCAGAAACACTGCAGGTGTGTTTATCAGATTCTTTTCGGACCTGGTTTGAGTAAGGTTGACCATTTTCATCGATTTCTCGAACCCTTCGTTCCACGGATCCTGGAATCCCCCGATTTCAATCGAACTCGATGCACTGCATCCAATGGGGCTTTCCGATGGTCTGTTATTTGCTAATTTTCGCGACGTACACACAAGCGGAACCGCATTCTGACTTTCGGCTTTTCACCTGACGGGACCACGAGGAGGGTTATTCGTCATGTTGAACTCTATCACGAGACTGCATCTAGACATGTTGGGATGGCTTGTGCATCTCTCTGACCAAACGATTAACACAGGATAGGTGTCAAAAAGCCAGGAAGGTCTCAATGCTGGAACGTCGAATGGTGGGTTTCAGGCAAAGTCCAATCTCTTAGTCCACCAATTTGGGGTTTTGACAGTGTCATCAGCGTGCTCTAAATCGTACACCTTTTCTCCAGCTGCCCGTTCATTACCAGCATCATGAGGACCACCAAGTGCGGTTTCCAGTATTTCGTCTACGACCAAATTGAACAGAAACGGCTAAGTAGGGCTCCTTTGACGTACACCTAGTTTCGAACGGTTTACTGGGCCCACTGTAGACCATTACGCTACCGGAAGTATGATGGTGCAGTGAACGCAATAGGTTTAGATACTTCTGCGGCATTCCTTTGCGAAAAGCAGCAAAAAACGGTCAACTGAATCAAAGTTCATTAAGGTCAAGGAACACTGCACTTGTTGGCCGACGATGTGTGACGCAATTCAAGGACTTGAGGCAAGTAAAGATTTGGTTGCTGAAACCCCGATCTAGTCGGAATTCGGCTTGCTTTTCGCGGATAATTGTCTCCCTTAACGGTGTCAGGCGGCGAAGTATCACACAAGTGATCACCGGAACTAAACTAATCCCACGGTGTTTAGCGCAGTCGTTGCGTGATCCCTTCTTGAAGATCGGGACGATCAACGGTTCATCCCAGGACAAAGGGATACGCTCTTCCGTCCAAATGCTGCGAATTAAGCTAGTATTTGAGTCAACAAGAGAATCACCACCCACCTTGAAAAGAATAGATAGGAGCCCATCAGGTCCAGTAGCATTCTCGTTCTTTAATGACCGAATGCAGCTTCACACTTCCCATTTTGATGGAGGCTCGCATGTTATCACTCACGGGGTTTCCGCCGCAATTGCTGGAATGGCTGCATTAGCACTGGGTCAGTTGAAGTGTTCACTAAAATACTCTACCCAGAGATCAGGTCGTACTTTTTCATTGCGTATACTCTGTTCACTTATCGCAAATGGTTTTACTGACTAGTATGCGACGACCTCCGATGTTGCGTATCGGGTGATTATTCCTTGATGCAGAAGTTACCTCTATTCTGCTACTTATTTTGGCCCACCAATCTTCGCGGTCGTTCCTAAGGCTTTTCGTGTGCTGACGTTGCAGGCAGACACCGAGCCTTACGCTGATCCTGGAAGACTGATCTTTCGCTTTTGATCCATCAGGGTTACTAACTCCTGAGAAATCTAGTGCTCTCAGCGAACTTCGGGCTCAGTCTCAGTAGCAAGGTTTGCTGCTAAGTGCATCGCAAATCTAATTTGATCCCACTGTTTGTCTACTCCACCATGTCGCGGTTCTCCTGGCTGCTCAACGTGACGTGCGCAGACAGATGAATAGCGCGTACCATGATGAGTTAGCTAACGAGCCGATTTCTGCCAATAAGTCGAAGAGTGAAGCGTAGCAGAACTAGTGCATGATCCGACTCAACACAGGCGGTCCAATAGTATCTGTAATTTTGTACTGAGTCACGCCAATGGTAACGTACAACTATGTGGTCAACTTTCCAGTTGAACTAGAACACCATGTTCGACCACAGCTATGTCGGAATTGGGTGCTAGTTAAGAACCTCCGTCGGCTGTTCGCTGGGAAGGGTGTTCTCCAAGACAGGCTTCGGATGCGCTAAGTTTTCCAACCGGCGCGTTAAAGCCTGCTGCCAACTATAATATTGCAGCTACGACTCGACCGAATGAGTTCGGCCAGCTTCCCGTAAAATTCGTCCTTTTGTGAAGCAGGGCTGCAGTTGGTTGGCGCATATGCGGAAATGATTAACAAACCTTTTGGTGTTGCTAACCTTCCGAACACTAACTGAACTCTGTAGCCTCATTGCGCACACACGACTATTGATGAGTATCCAATCTATCGTAGGGACTTCAGCTTTTGTCGTTTATTACGATCCCTATACCACACTGACCCAGTGAGCGGGACTCGTAGTCTCCTGATGTGCGAAGGAAATACCTCGGCGCCGGCGCCCTCAGGTGACTTCATACTGGGATCCTGAATTCGTGTCTCCGATACGCAACAGACATCGATTTCTAGAGACTGTATTGTTTGCGCAAGACACGCCTGTTGACCCACCTGCATAAGAGTCCTCACGTTGAAAGGCCCTAGATTTGGAGGTTGAAAGGGGTTCACAACCTGTACTTTAATTGCAGGAAAATTATTTGGTGCTATTTGGCAACGAGTGATCACCAAGTTTTCTGACGGAATTTTACGAGTCGGAACAAGGGATAGAAGGACGGTTAGGTACAGAAGACAATGAGTGAAACAAAGGTTGGAATATCTGAGTAGTAGCCCGCTAATCACTATCCACCCCACTCGATGCAGTGGGCAGCGCGTTCTTGTTTATCCTGCGCGACGACCGATTGAGTATGAAATTATTTTTAGTTGGTGTGTTCATTGGAGCTTTATGGACGGGTACTACCAGTGGGTCCAACTGCTAAGAAGGAGAACGATTAGGGTTCTCAACCAAAGCGGCGGTTGAGCGGGGTGAAGGCCTATTAACTTGAGCCAGTTACTTCTGCAATATGTTTTACCGACTGAAGCGCCCACTTAAGTCGAACTCCCAACTTGGAGGGCCAGAATACCCGATTTTGTCTGACCATTGAACTTCCAAGCATGATTAGACCTTTGGCTCAACAAAAGCATGCTGTGTAGCACGTTGGGCCACCCCCACGTCAAGGTACAATCTCGTGATCCGACGAATCGTGGCGTTTCAAAACTTTAAGCTCCCGGATACGTTCCACGGTAGGCGATTAAATGTCTGAAGACCATAGAGCACTGCGTACATCAGGAGATGGAGGTGTTGATGTCGATAGTCAACGAAATTGTTGTTGGAAGTGCTTCGCCCAGCTTCGAAGCGCACGTCTTAAATTGTGGATACATTCGCCATTACTTTCGCGTATGGTAGCATTGACGCATGGTTTTTTTGTTACCCAAGGCTCAGACTACTCGAAAATGCTTGAGCATTGCGGGAACTAGTTCCATCTCGGAAGCGCGTTATGCCCATCAGGTCTCGATTCCCTTTTGAGATCCGTTTGAGTCCTGCGAACTGTACTGTTTGTTACTAAAAGGATCCTTTTATCCCGGATCATGCGCCTGGAGGATACGAGATACTATTGACTTATCGCCTTAGCCGACCGCTCTAATGTCTGGCGCTGCGTCTCCTTTAAGGGTGTGCCCCAGAAGTTTATTTCAATCCCTTTATACTAATAGAGCATGTGGAGAAGTTTTGTTATCTGGGCAGCTACATCTCTCCCGGTGGACGCATCACGGATGAAGTGTGAGCTCGCATACAGAAGGCTCGATTGGCATTTGCCAACTTGACACATTTGTGGCGCCGTCGTGACATCCGGTTAACTTTGAACGATCGAGTGTATGCCGCAACAGTTCAGCCAGTTCTGCTCTACGGAGTAGTGACCTGGCCATTAAGAAAACAGGATAAAGACAGATTGTCGATGTTTGAACACCGCTGTCTATGAAGTATTACCCGAATCTGGTGGGGCAGCCGAACGAGCAATACTGAGATTAGATGTCGAGTTTTAGGTAACCGTCTTCGCCCACTTGAGCAAGTGGTCGACCTCCATAGGTTGCGCTGGTTGGGGCATGTTTTTTTATCACACACCTAGGTGTGATGAACAGCAGACGGGGTAAACCCCATAGTCACGAGGACCTACTGTTCAGTGGTTGAAATCGGTTAACTAAGCCCCGGAACTTGGAGTGGCGAACCACATAAGGCCCCGATAGGTTAGGCGTGGTATTGAACCGGACGACAGGTCGAATAAAAAGAAAAATTTCTTAGAAAGTCAGATGGCACCTTTTGCGTGCTTCATCCAATCAAATAATTATTGTCTCAAGGTTCCCGAAGTTCATATAGTTAAATGTTTACTTTTGCTGTG